ATCCACGGGGACGGAAGGGTGAAGCAACTTCTCCAAGGTGCCTCCTTAGCGCCCCTGCATCGAACAACAAAGGCGAGCCCCATGAATAACACGGCCTTCGGCCCCTGGATCGATGGGCGGTCGCGGAGACTCTACTGCCACACTGCATACGTCCGGAGCCCCACTTGTGTAGGTTTTCATGAAGAGACCTTGAGCTGCACCAACACAACCTTAAACTTACGGGGCTTTGTGTTGGTTTCCATGCGCGTTGCCTGGCGACGTGGGTGGCGTGGCAATGATTAATGTAGGTCGTTGGTCGATGGCCGCGTGTCCGACCTGAGACGCACCTTGCCCTGCGGCGGCGGGGTAGGGCGGCGCCTCGCATTTTCCCACAGGGCGGCCCCTCCCCCACCGACGCCCCCGCCGACGCCCCCGCGACGCCCCCCCGCCGACCCCCGCCGACGCCCCCGCCGACGCCCCCGCCGACGCCCCCGCCGACGCCCCGCCGACGCCCCGCCGACGCCCCGCCGACGCCCCCGCCGACGCCCCGCCGACGCCCCGCCGACGCCCCCGCCGACGGCAACAACGAGCTACGAGCAACCGAGCGGGAAGTTCAGCGGTATCTGATTCGAATCCGCATCGATACCAAGATATTTGAACTGGAAAGTTGGGTGCAATAACAGCCAAATATTTGTAATGTTTTATATTTATCAATGAACCAAGATTGATATGAGCATTCTAATGAAAGAGAATTCCTTTTACACTACGAGCTTTAGCCTCATGGTGCTAGAGCAATATGAGTAATTGAAACGACCATTATATCCATGGCAATTACAAAGCCTTTAAAAAGTGTAAAGTTTTTATTCTAGATTTATTGCTTAAACTCTGACACTATAGATTAAAGATCATTTTTGCATAAGCACTTGCCTGATTGTTTATACAATTACTTTCTCTTGTAGTTTGTATATATTTTGTACATGTTGTGTGAATCTGCTTATACAGAATGTCCCAAAAGGAAACATCATTGTTTTGAAATGTTACAATATTGGTCTTTCTAAGCTTTGTTCCCTCACCTGTCCATGTGCTCGTCAAAAGACGAAACGAAGGATATCATACAACATACACCTAACGCTTCTGTGACTCCTGTATTTCCTCTTTTTAGGTTTTAAAATGTTCAACTCAATTTTGCTATTCCATTAGATGTAAAAAAAATTCTGCCCCGAAAAACTGAAGATACGTATAAACAACGCAGAATTGAAGCTTGAACATTGGTGCAAGAAGAAGAAAATCGAGAAAATGTATTTATTTACTGTTAATAGTAAAACGCGTTTGTGTGTCTTCGGGAGGAGGCTACATTTATGTCCAGAAACAATGCAAGGGACAATATGAGCAACTGCTCAGTGAATCAGAGGCAAATTCGTAAAAACTCCGCTCCAGATTTGCAGTGAATATGTGATTTATATTGTGTTGCCAATTATCAAATTCGTTTTTGATTTTACGTGAAGGTCTTGGCTAAGATATTATTATTAGTTTGTTTCATACAAAGCTTGCTTTTTGAGTACGAAAATAGCGTTATAATAAAGTCATAAAGACATTGTTGCTATAATTAAGTTTTTGATAACATCCGTTGGAGTATGCCAGTCAAATACATTATCACATCGTTGGAGATAAAAGTTCTTTGCACGCGCGCAGGGTAACTAAATGACACTTGAATGTTTTCGCAAGAGTTCAATCCCTATCAAAGAACTGTATTTGTTGCTTTCCATCATGGCGATGCAGTTTCTCATTGTACATTGATAATCTTGCTCAGAAAATTTAGTTTAAAACATTAATCGTTCGCTTCTAGTTACAAGTGGATACATTATTTCTCTTCTTAGTTAAAAACTTCTGATCCGATGACAATTCTGTCGAGTCTGGTAATTTCCCTGTTGCGAACTTGAAGGTGGCAACTAGTGAAATTCAATCTGACAAAAACGTCGTTAATACGGGTGGTTGATTAGTTGGTCTGTCCGAGCGCAAATGCTACGGTCACTAGTCCTGTGCACGTGCGTGCTGCATCCCGAGAGGTGGCAGTGTTCCTCCCCCACTGTAATGATTGAACCGGAGCCAGAAGAAAGCGAGTGTGATAATGTGTGTAGGTCTGTCTGTACGTATAGTTCTTTTGGATTGAAACATCTAGCCCTCGGCCCTAATTGTGACTCGCGCTTCCCATCACCTCGCTAGTCACCTGCGCCGCACAGTCCGGCTCAGTGGTCCGAACCGGTTGCTTGAATTTCCATTCAACTGGGTACCGGGGCGGGAATTTCCCCTTCCCGATAGTCGAAGGTAACTTGTAGGTTCATTTCCATTTTTTTAATGAACGGTGCTGCTGACGTACTTTTTGTTTTGTTATTTACGGTCGCATCAACATCTAGATCATTAGCGAACACTATTGCATTTAGCGATATGGTAACTCTGAAGATGACACGATATGGTGATGATAGAGGGTGAAGGGACGAACACAATACAACCATGCCCGAGGCGGGACTCGAATCTGCGATTCTTTGGTCTGAACTCGCTACGGCACTACTGCCTTAATGATCTCAGCCATCCGGACTGGCGCTGACGTACTTTGTAGGGCCATCTCGGCTACGCTAGCCGGTTGGGGTACCTGCCAGTAAGAAAGGATGTGGGTTAACGAAGATTCGTGATGATTGGACCTGTCCCACCTAACTTCTACAGCACGGGTGTCCAACGTGCAAGGCCTCAAGGGCCACAACTAAAACCTTAAAATGGTTGCGGGCCATATTTTCATTCCTCGGGCGATTGTTGATCGCGGCACTTTGTTCAGCTGCTCTGAAATAGGGAGGGGGGTAATGGAACCATGCGTGATATCAGGCCGTTCCATGTATAACGCAATAAAACACATTGGAATGATTTTGAATTTCTGAATTTAGTAGAAATAAACCTTCAGATCTAGACTTAACCTATCTTGCATTAAAAGGGTTGTTGACGTTGGCAAGGCGCGTGCGCTAGACGCACAAGGCGCTCGTCCGAAATGGATGCGAAGGTCTTTCACTTTCGACTAAGAACCTTTCGCGGGTCGCCAGCCCAGGTCTACAGTCAGGATCAGTGAAACCCACTGCCTACGAGCAATGTGTTCTTGCCTCCAACGCATGCGCCTCGTTGCCTAAACGCATGCAGTTAGAAAGATATTGCATGGTATTGTATTGGAAAGTCCGCGATGCGACAACACAGAGGTAAACCATCGTGTCTAAGTGGAACAAGAACCCACGACACGTCGGACTGACATCGCCACTGCATGCTTGCGTTAGAGATTTCTGCAGTCGGGTCGGCGAGTGTGATAATAAACGAATGCAAACAAAGAAAGGGTGTCAACAGAGCAGGAGGCATGGAAGAGTGCCAAGACCGCGCTCAGATTTTTCCAGAGTGAGCGGACAATGTGAAATCTGCAATGAAAAAAGGATGGGCTGTGGAGAAGGGGATGGGTAGGACCGAAAAATGGGGAATGCGAGTGGAATGAGGCGGGGGCGAGGCGGGGGCAAGG